GGCATTGGCTGCCATATCTTTCTGGATACTGTGGGGTGCAACTCCTTGGATACTTTCGGATAATAATAGTTGTACACTGGTTTTTTAGATGTATCTAGTCTAACCATCAATGAGTAAACAACACCGAATTAGGTAATGATGGCCATATTGATCTTTTGAAAGGTGTAAACCATCTGTTCTTTTTCTGAGGAGCCATGGAGGGAAAACTTTCCATAGCCTACGTCCTGTGGAAACCTTGCCGCTTCTTATATGGTTCCTGAGAGAAAAGAGTCTATTGATCAAAGGAGTGATGTTATGGAGGCAGAGTTTTCAAAAGAGAGAGAGGCCTAGGGAGGAAAACCTTCAGGGAGAAGGGAAAAACCTAGCTTTGGCAGGAAAAATGAGGGGAGAAAGGAAGGGAAAGGTAAAAGTAAAAGAAAAGAGTATATAAAAGAGAGAAGAGAAGATAGGAGAAGGGGAATAAAGAGATATGGGGAAGGGGCATAGAGAGAAGAGAAAAGGAAAGATGAGAAAAAAGTAAACAACTCAAAAATTTCCTAAAATGGAAATTTTCAAGTGTAGAAAGGGTGAGTGGAAAAGAGTTTTTTTATATTATGTGATTTCAAATTATAATTATCAATATAATATATAAAATATACTAGTGTTTTTAATTCCAAAGCATAGCTCAGGCTAATATGTTAGTTTTTTAAAAACTATATTATTATTAAAAACATAATAAATTAATTGGAAATTGTATTACTATATATGATAAAGATTAACAATATAATTACATGTATAGTCTTAATATTAAGGATTCAAGAATAATGTATAAATCTAAAAATGACTTGTTGACAAATGTTTTGTAATATATACAATTTAATGTCAATATAAAGCCTAAGAGTTCAATATATTATAGTATTTGTAAATTAATAAACAAAAGTAATTGCAGTCTGATTAAAGACAAAAAAAAAATAAAAAATAGTTTTAAATAATTTTATTTTTTAACTTTTAAAAAATATTTTTTAAATTTTTATATTATTTAAATAATTATTTATTAAGTTATAAATAAATAAAAAATTTCTAAAAAGTTTTGTAACACACCATATATAAATTAAAAATATAATATAAAAATATTTATTTATTAATAACTTGTCTTTAATTTATATTTTAAAAATCTTATTTATCTTTTTTAATTACTGTATATAATTGACATATTATTGTTTAAATCATATATTGACTTTAAAATTTTTTTAATATAGTTTAGATAGTTATTTTAATAAACTAATATTTAACTTATATATTGAGAGATATAAATTTTATTGTATATTGTTTATATACTGTATGTTATAAAAATTAATATTTATAAAAAAAATTTTAAAATTATATTTTTTATAATAGCATAAAAATATTTGTAATACGCAATTTTTAATAAAATTTTAATAAAAATAAAATTTTAAAAATAAGTGTAAAATACACTTGTTTATACTTTATATTTGTCACCACTAATAAGAACATTTAATTTCCATTCTTTATTCCAGCCATATTTATACACTAAAGATTGTACAAAAAATAAAAACAATGTTGATTGCATCAAAGCTATGCATGTATTTCAAATTTTTTAAAACGTTCAGTATTGTTACGGTGTAACGGTGAGTCTGTCGCTCACTCTAGCAGAGATTCGCGTAACCGTTATAAGGTAAATGAACGAAAGGGTGATTTGAGGAATATTTTTATTTGACTGAGTAATTTAATGTTATAACGGGTCTTGTTCTCCTTTATTAATGCTTGTCTCTTTCTTTTTATACATCTCTTTTTATTTACAGAGACTAGTGCGGCTATACTTTAATAACAATAGGTAAGCCAGGTCTCTATTATATAAATCCCTTTTCACAATCACATTCTTCTTTCCCCCACATTAGATAATCGTGCATTGCCAACCAAGAACAGGTTCCTTCGCGAAGATTAATCACGTGATGTGCGTCGCGTCTTAACTTACCCTTACAGTATTCAAAATTATATTGTCTTAAAAAATTAATTAATTAGTCGTGAGTCCTATAACATCATAATTTAAAATATATAATTTTGTTTAATAAGCAATCTAAATATTATTTTCTATTTTCTTTTACTTTATTAAGGCAATTACTGTAACTACAAAAATTATATACATTAAAACGTTTATTTTATTGATATATATATATATGTGTGCGTGTATACAGTATATTATTAATATTATACGCTGTTGATAATCTAAATATTGTTTAGGCATCTTCATATATATTTCTTAGAACACGTATTCGCCTAATGCGTTGTTGGCAATCCGAATACTGTTTAGGTATTATGGAAGTGCGCCCATTCACACTTCTGTGTAACCTTGAGGCTTCAATAATTAAGTCGTTTCGGATATTTTCGATATTAATAAGAGTTAACTAAAAAAAAAATAGTTAAAATTTTTCAAATACTGTATATTTAATAGATAGTAAATGGGATAGAAAAACACCTCAACTCGCAATAGTGTTACGACCAATTTCTCGATTATAGGTAATTGTAAATTTGATTGCGGAAGATTTATTTTTTTCAATAAGCCTAATCTCCATAATCCTCTTGCTTTCCAATCCATGGCGTAAACATTATAAGAAAATCCTGAGTTGAATATAAAACAGAGTAAATATTATATTCTTTTATTTTAATACAAAATGACTAAGGAAATCTTACCATATGAGTGTACACCAATGGTATATAATCTTTTGAATTTCGCACATTTTATTCCATTGGTTTCGATACCTTCTTTCAATAAAACATCGCGCATAGCAACCATCAAATCAACTTTGTCACTCCATTTTTTGGATTTGCACGCTTCCGGTAATCCTCCAGAGCGTAATCCGATAACGGCTTCAAATCTATCAAATGTAACTCTGAAGTCACATTTTTGACCAATCAAGGATTTATCCGTTGGATACATTGTTGAATTTGCAATCATGGCAGATGCTAAGCTTTGAATTTCCCCTCTAAAATAATTAAAACGGTTTACTATAAATAAATAAACAAACATTATACTAATAAAATTTTAATGCACTTACTCGTCATATATAAACTTTTTATCATGTGTTAAAATACCACTAGACATCATATTTATGAAATTATTTGAAAATGATGCTTCCGAAGTTGATGGTTGCAACCGCTCCAAATTATATAAACTTTATGTAATAATATTTATTTATTTATTTATTTAAAAAAAGAAAAAAAAAACGAATGATAAGAACAATAAACTTACTAATTCTGAACTAATCTTCTTATTGCATTAATCTTCGGATTTCCCTACAAATAATAGTAATTTATCGATTCGTATAAGGTAAAATCAAAATATGTTATTTTTTTAAAATAAAAATTTAATTAATTTATACCTCTATTATACATTTTTCGATTTCTGTTATATCGTCACCTGACTTGTTTTTTAAAGCCTAATGTATAATTATTTAATTATCAATTATTATTATTAAATAAATAAATAAAATAAAATATACAATATTATTACTTGTTGGATCCTATCAAATAGTTCGTATAGCTTTTCTTTTTCCTTTATCTCCTTAAATTCTGCTGTTTCGTTAAAATCGCTTTTCATTTCCTCCCATTCATCGTCCGTAAAAAGGTTTTTGACTTCTATATCTTCGCCGGACAAATCAAGTATACCAAAAAATATGGGACTAACAAATGTTTAAAAATATTAATTTTAAAAAATATTATAATTACCATATAAAATATATACTTACTATAAATATGCTTTCGATTTCGGGATTTTTGACTTAAATTCCTCCAAAACTTGTGAAACATTTGTCCCAGTTGAGAGTATCCATTCATCAAATATCGAACCTTCTTCCATTTCAGTCTATTAAAAAAATACAAAATTATTTTTTTAAAATACATATAATTAATAAACTAATACAATGATATATATGGACCTCTTCACTCGAAGAATTTCTATTAATTTCATCTAATTCTTCATCATCTTGAAACTTACAATGAAAAAAATAATATTAGTAATATATTTAAATAAAAAAACATGTATACATTTGAATATAACCAATTTCGGTACATTGTCATCATCTTTTTCTGTACCGTCTTTATCTTCTTTAGTATCATCATTGTCTTTTTCTTCATTATTTTCCAGTTGTTTTTTACTTTGTAAAAGTTCTGATAATGTACGTTCTATAAATATTGAAGAACCAACTAACTCGATTCTCTCAATAATTGATTTGTCAGCATTAAGTTTATAGAAGTCGGTATATATGTCTTTGCAGGTAAGTTCCACGACGTGACCTTCGAAGGACTTGGAAATATCATGTAATTCTCTGCAGAACGTAATTATGGATAAAGGAAACTTGCCTAAAAAGTCATTTGTGAGAATATCCAAAGATGATTGCCATTCATCAAAAACAACGTCCCATGGTGAAATTTTTGAATCATTCTTCAAACGAAAATCCAGATAGTTCTTCAGCTGCCAAAACTCAGCCTCCACGTTCCGAAAATAAATGTGGGTATTATATGCTTTAGGTGCTTTAACGGACGAATATTTGTTGCTTCTAAGTATCGCTGTCATGATCACGGAATTAAAATGATAAACTGATAATGCCGTTATCACAAATGATTTATAATTCCTTAATCACAGTAATGCGTCATTAGCCGTCATCATAAATTAACAAATAATGCCATCATCATAAATGCCGTCATCACAAATTGCTAAATTGCTAACGTCATGACAGTTTTTCTACACATAACATATCATCACATGTTATACTAGAGTCCTATTTTACTATATTATTCTAAAGTTCGTGGATTCTTGGCATAAAAAATTGACCAAATATATTATAAATGTAGGGATATTAAGGTGTTATCTGCATTTAAAGTACTGTAATGATTATTTATAGATTAAGTTTCACCTGGTACGTGAACCGAAAATTGCAAATCGTAAATTGTCGTGTTTAGTCTGCTTTCCATATTGGCATTATCAAATTTGCCGCAATTATTAGATGCAGTTATTAGGGTAATAAGTTGCATTTTGGCAAAGTGTAATGATTGAATCGAGCTTTTAAGCTAATGCAAATTCTTTCAGTGCTTCCAAAAAGAACATAACATCTGTTTATAAATTAAGTTTAATTATAGTACATTAGATGATGTATATATACTGTGTGATAGACTAACGGCGAGTCTGTCGCTAACCGGGAGCAGAATTCGCGTAAAGAGGCGGATTTGAATTGACCGAATTCTCTGTCTTTATTAGATACTTTGTCCTTTTTATACATGTCTAGACGTCTAGATGGAAGCTTTTAGAAAGTAAACGAAAAAGAACAAAATCGATATTCTAAATTACATAATGTCCTCTTGGAAACCCCGGTTAAATATCGGTCACGTGGCTATCGTCGCGTCTTGACCATCTTATTTTGCCTTTTACAACTATATACAGTATATAATTAAAATGTAAGTTTTAATTTAAAATATATATTGTATACAGTATATATTTAAATTATATTATTATTTAGTATATTCACTCTTTGTCTTAATAATAATTATTCTTTTGAAATTGATTTTTATTTAAAGATTTTCAATATTTAATAATTAATGTCTTTTTTTTAAAGATGAACATGCAATGATATGTAGCTTTATTAATACATAATATCTAGACAAGCATCAAGTGTCTTTTACATAAGGAGTTAATTGTATACATAAGAGATATACCTATCTACTGTTTTCTACATAGATAAAATAATACTGCCTGTTAATTGTTTCTAATATTAGCTTACTTAACTATTCTTATTTCTCAACTATATGTATTTACATCCAAAAGATGGAGCTACACATTGGATGAAATCTTCATATGCAGGGGGTGAAAATCTTATCACTAGTTTTAAATCACTTACCTGTGAATCTAAATTACAGCTGCACTTGTTATAGAAGAAAACCGTATAAAGTATTATTATAAAGATTAATTACAATTTTTTTTTTTTTTTTTTTTTGTAGGTAAACATCATTTCTTTATTTGATTTGTATATAGCAAGGTATATATCGTGAAAGAAACAACATCTCTCATATGTTGGTACAATAAGTTAAATGTTAGCTTGCCTACAATAACCATATGACTAATATTGAAAAGAAAATTTAAAACAATCTATCTTGCTGGATGGCATCAAGCAGTTATGAATACCTACTCAGCATTAAAAAAAATAATAGTAGAATTAGAATTGGTAGATAGAGTTGTTAGACTATAAATACATTTGAAATAATTATATTTAGATTGGATGAATGAGTTAGCCACGATAGAAGATAGATCAATAATAATATTATCTTGTGGATTATTGGAGATGTCTTTGGCCTGTGAGGTGTTTTTAGCTTCTAAATTAGTGAAATTGGTTGAGTTATGTACCTTGGTATGGTCCCACTTGATTCTAGTGAGAGATGAAGTATTGGCTATAGAGCAACGTGGTTTTCAAATTAGATTATACAATAAGGACAAATATTTTAGTTATTTGTTATTACTAATTTTTAAGTTATATTATTAATATAATATAGTATTATCATTTTCATTATCTGTAAAACTAATTTTTTTTTAATTCCAATTTAATCTTATATAATCTTTATTAAATATATTTGATTTGATAATTTTTGTCTAACTTTTTATTATTTATTTTTTAAATTATAAATATTTTTAAATAAACTTATTTAAAAATTTAATAAAAATATTGATTTTTTTTAAAATTAAAAAAATTTTTTTTTCAACGACTGGCGTACACCTTGTTTTATTAGAAGAATTTATAATACATGTATATTCCCTTTATGGAAACTGACTACTACCTATCTATATCTAATAAAACTATCTAGAGAAAATTCTTATGACTTTATCCACTGGTTAGCTTATTGCCCTCCATTCTTCCTATATTATCAACACCAGGGTCCTGATAGTATAGGTAGAGTACTAATGTGTCAGGATGTGCGCCTTCCAGACCCATCCACCATCCGATAAATAGAAACTTAAAGAACCGTATCCTAATACGATCAGCCGTGGACTAGCCATATCCAACAAGGAGTCTTTGTGGCTTTGACTTGGTCATTTTGAAAAAACGGGTTGTTTCTTTTATAGTCTCATGGACTAAAGGGGTGAGGAAGCATGCTCCATGCATGAGAAACGGGGGAAGCATCAAACTTGACAATGATCATCATAACACTACTGGACAATCATTACACCACTACACCTTTCTTAGTATCACAATCCTAATGCCTATTGAATCAACGTGTGAACTGGCTTCTTATAAGAAACAGTGCATATTAGATTATTGGCGCCAGATATCATTTTGAGATGGTCCGATTGCCTTCATCAGGAACCAAACTTGATATCTTGTGATAGCAATTAAAAGATGTTGATCCATTTCTTCCGGTTTGAGGTTTCCACGTTAGCCCACTGGAGGATTTGAACCATTATCTTGTGATCTGACCTGCGGAGCACTAACCACTGTTTATAGACCCACAGGTCTTTAAAATTTAAAATATTCAAATAAAAATTTTTTTAATAATATTTAAAAATAAAAATTATATTATAGTAGCATTTAATTTTATATTATAAAAAATTTTTTTAAATATTTATAAAATGAAAATATATTAATTTTAAAAAAATTATTTAAATTAAAAAAATTATTTATTTATTTTTATATTTTTAAAAATTAATTTTAAATAAATAGTTTTTAATAAATCTGTGGATCAATAATATAATGGATAATATTTTCAAGTCTTCAAATATATATCTCTAATTTAATACCTATAAGGAATATAAAGTATATTTATCTTCATATATAGATTTATTAAATATTCTATATATATTATATCCAATAATTCTTTTTTTTTTTTACTGTTAAGTGAGGCATTTCTCACGATCTTTATTAATAAAGTAAAGTTGTTACATAATTAATATT